CAAGATTTCTGCAATAATATCCTGCAGAATTAGGTGATGTGGACAAGAGGGCTTCAGGGTGCATCAGGCAACATTATGTTTGGCCGTATGGGACAGAAAATGCCCGATCACGTAGCTTAAAGAAGATAGAGTTTTATTTTTGTAGATAAACAAAGTTTGGAGGTAAATCTAGACCCCTGAATTAGTCCTATATCATCCATAAGAAGCTACCGCATGGCCCAAGATGGCTGCTCAAATGCCAGCAATTGCATCTGCATTTCAGACAGGAGGAGGAATGTGTGGGGGAAAAGAAGGGTACACTTCTCTTTAAGATTTCTTCATGGAAATCATATATGATTTACTTTTGCCTGTATTTCATTGTCCAGAATTTATCCCAGGGCTGCCCCTAGCTGCAGGAAATCTGGGAAAGGTAGTTTTTATTTTGGGTGGCGATGTGCCAAGCTAAAAACATCAGGGGTTCCACGTTAAAGGAAGAAGAGGGAAATGAAGAATGCTAGACACTTAGCATTTTCTGCCACATCTGATCAAACAAATTTGAGAAATATTTGGTTAAACAAAGTGAAGTAGGCTTCTTTACTGCAGAATCTCTCAGGCTTTAGTGCGCTCACGGGCATTGCTAATCTGTAAAAGGGGCTGTAGTAGTATGTAGCCTTTCCAAAACATACTACGTTATAGAATTGGTGTGTGTGTGAAGCACTTTATGGAACTGGTGTTCTGCAGAGGATATTCGGGTAACGCAGTCCTTGATGAACTACAGAGTTCAAAACTAACCAAGCCAGGCAACACGCTTTCATTTTAAAGATTAATGCCATTCCTTCCATCAACCTAGACCACCTACCCTTGATCTGCCAGGCCCTGGCTAAGTGCTGAGAGAAGTTCCTCTGAGGTGGGTCTGAGCTCCATGTGGGGCCTCTTCCTGCTGGCAAAGGCTCCCCATGGAGGCTGCTCCACCAGACAGGCAGGGAAGGGCCTGTATCCATTCCTGAGGGCTGCCATGATGAAGGACCATGAACTGGGTGCCTTCAAACAAGGGAAATCTGTTCTCCCATGCTTCCGGAGGTCAGAAGTCTGGAATCAAGGCGTCAGCAGTGCATGTCCCCTCCGAAGGCTCTAGGGGAGGCTCCTTCTTGCCTCTTCCAGCCCTGGGGGGTTGCTGGCAATCTTGGCGCTCCTTGGTTTGCAGCTGTGTCACTCCGATCTGTGTGTGCGTTGTCCCATGGCGTTCTCCCTGTGTACGTGTGTCTCTGTGTCTTTGAATGGCTTTCTCCTCTTTGTGTGTCTGTGTCCAGATTTCTCTTGTCTTATGAGGACACCAGTCACTGGATTAGGGCCTGACTAAGTCCAGTGTTGCCTCATCTTTCCTTGATTACATCTGCAAAGAGCCTGTTTCCAAATAGCACAGAGGTACCCGAGGTTAGGACTTCAACAGATCTTTTAGGGGAACCCAATGCAACCTAAACAGACAGTTTTCCCTTTCAGCTCACACCTGAGCCAGCCTGGGGCCATGGAAAAGACCCAGCACTGACGCTGATCCTGCAGCTCTAACCTCCAGCAAATCGACAAATCCCGCTTATCTCTAATTTATTAGCCTTTGCATGAATCTAATGCCCTTCAGTGCAGAGCCCTACAAACACACACTGTTTTCCTACTGACTCCCAGCCAGGTATGTGGTGGGGGAGCTGGGCCAGCTGGCAGAGAGCATCACCCACAGCCAGGGAGGCAGGCAGAGATGTGGCCAAATTTTCTTCCTGGGTGCCTCCTCCTAGCCACAGGTGCTCCTTGGCAACTAGGCAGCGGGGCAAGCTGACTCTGCAGGCAGCCCAGGCCCACCTGGAGCCCATCTCCTGCCCTGGCCCTCCGACCTCATGCGGCTGCATCACGTTGAACAGCTTTGTAAGTGATGACCTGGGTTGGTAGTGATAGGGGCACTTCGATTCTATTAATTTCAACAACCATGGCCAGTTTGCTTTATCTGTGCATCACAAATTCCTACCTGTTCTTCAAGGCTGTATTAGCTCACTAGGGCTATTGTAACAAAGTACTACAAACTGGGTGTTTAAATGACAGAAATGTAATATCTCACAGTTCTGGGGGCTGGAAGTCTGAAATCCAGGTGTCAGCAGGGTTCTTTTTTGTTTTGTGGGATGAAGTCTCGCTCTGTCGCCCAGGCTGTCGTGCAACGGCACAATCTTAGCTCACTGCAACCTCCGCCTCCTGGATTCAAGCGATTCTCTTGCCTCAGCCTCCTGAGTAGCTGGGACTACAGGTGCACGCCACTACACCTGGCTACTTTTTGTATTTTTCTGTAGAGATGAGGTTTCACCATGTTGGTCAGGCTGGTCTCGAACTCCGGACCTCAGGTGATTCGCCTGTCTTAACCTCCCAAAGTGCTGGGATTACAGGTGTGAGTCACCGTGCCTGGCCTGCTTCTTTTGGAGTTTCCTTCTTTCCTCCTTTTTGCTGGGAGGGAGAATTTGTTTGAGGTCTCTCCCTGGCTCTGGTGCTTTGCTGGCAATCTTTGGCGTCCCTTGGCTTGTAGCTGCATCAGCCCGGTCTCTGTCTTCATCTTCTTGTGTGTCTGTCTTCAAATTTCTGCTTTTTATAAGGACACAAGTTATATCGGATTGGGGTCCACCCTCTTCCACTATGACCTAATCTGAACGAATTACCTCTGCTATGCTTCTACTTCCAAATAAGATCACATTCTTAGGTACTACAGGTTAGGATTTGAACATCTGAATTTTGGGATGAACTCAATTTAGCTCATAACAGAGGCCCATCAGAAATCTCGCCTCCTCCAGGAAGCCTTCTGCACTCAAAATCATGCAATCTCCCTTTCTGGAACTCCCATAGCACATAATGGCTGAGGAACTCAGTGGCCCAGGGCCACTTGGGTATTTATATTGTGTCTCTCTGAGGCTGGACTCAACTCTGGGTTGATGACATTTATAGTTTTTGAACACAAGTGCAGCACAGCAGAAGCCATTTTATCTGATGTTATTAGGACTGGTAGTTGGGTAGTAAATTGAAAATCCAAAAGGAATGCCAGCAAGCAGCGTGGCTCAGCATGAGGTAGGCGGCAGATTGATGCAAGAGTAGACAGCAAAGGTTAACCACTGTGTTAGTGAAATCGACGTTGGCTAGGAGAGATTCTCCTGCACAAAAAAACAAACAGCAGCCACCAAAGCCCAAGAAGGATGAAATCCAGATGCGAAGTTATCCAACTTCCCATTGAGGGTGGATTTCTTTTTAAAGGAGCCATCAATACTCTGTGCCATTTAAGACTCCTATCTGGTTTGGGTGTCAAGGGAAGTGGCCATACAAGCTGTTTGGGACTCTAAAAGTGGAATGGAGTCCAGGACACAGTGAGGGGCCCCTAGGGAACCTGAATAATTTTGTTTTTGTTTTTTGAGATGGAGTCTTCCTCTGTTGCCCAGGCTGGAGTGCAGTGGCATGATCTTGGCTCACTGCAAACTCCACCTCCCGGGTTCAAGCGGTTCTCCTGCCTCAGCCTCCTGAGTAGCTGGGATTACATGTGTGTGCCACCACACCTGGCTAATTTTTGTATTTTTAGTAGAGACTGGGTTTCGCCATGTTAGCCAGGCTGGTCTCAAACTTCTGACCTCAGGTGATCTGCCCACCTTGGCCTCCCAAAGTACTGGGATTACAGGTGTAAGCCACTGCACCCTGCTGGGAACCTGAAAGATTCTGGAAAATAAAGTTGTCTTTTGAGAGTTAAACTATAAAACAAGCATAATAGGCCCAAAGCAGGGATTGGCAAAGACTTTGTTTCACCTGTTTCGCAGTGTCAACATACCCCCAAAAGACTGGCCATCAGAAGAGTGTGTGTGTGTGTGCGCGCGGGCGAGTGTGTGTGAATGTATGTATGTGTGTTGTGCATGGCAGTGTATGCATGTGAGTGTGAGCATGTCTGTCGGCATGTGGGCTTGGGTAATGTGTATGATCACGTGCATATGTGTGTGAATGGGTGTGGATGTGTGGACAGCCAGGGAGGCCAAGGAGAGGAAGAACATACTGCCTTTGCCTAGCAAGGTGTAGCAAAGCCAAGCAGTGTGTCCCTGGCTTTCTGCAGGGGAAAGAGGGGGACACTGGGCCAGAAACTCATGCTCCTGGCCTCTGCTGAATCTCTGTCCATTCAGGGGAGATATATGCATGAAGTCATTGCAATGTGACACCTCTGTACTCATCAGATCACCCACGTCATCTAATGCAGTCCCATCACATTCCAGACTCGCTCAGTGCTGCCATCAGCTCCCAGGAGCTCTCCCTCCAGGGAGGGAATGTGCCCACCAGCAGACACTCAGACAGAGCACGTGGGGACAGAGGCTGACAGCCTGCCTGGCCATTCCTCCTAGTTCCTCTCCTCGGACTAGCTGGTGTCCTTGTGCAAGTGACTTACCCTCTCTGAGGTTCAGTTCCCTCCTCTTTGAAGTGGGTTTAATAATAGTAGCTGCCACATAGGTTGTTGTGAGGATTGATGAGATTACCCATATCATGTGCTTAGCACAATGGCTAATGGACGGCAGGCCTTCCGAAAGTATAAGCTACCATCATAATGATCAATATGATAATAAATCAAAACATCCATATTGTTTTTCATATGTGCTCCAGCGGGCTGACTGGGAGCACAATCTGCCGTCCATCCTGTATCCTCAGAGCTGAGCTCAGGGCCTGGTGGACAGCATATGCTCAGGAAGTGTTTGTTGCAGAAATGAATGAATGAGTGAGTGAGTGAGTGGCAAGTCATGTTTCTAGGCCCATAGGTCCAGGGCTGATAGCTTTGCACAGGTGAGCCATTCTATACACTTGCACTTGGTGACTGGGCCACCTTTCCCTGGGGACAGCAGACCCCAATGAACTCTGGCACATTACTCATTCTTGGAGGCAGGAAGGGAAGGAATTTGGAGATGGAGCTCCCTGAGCAGCCACCTGGTCACCAGGTCAGGGCTTGGGCCATTATCACCAAACTTCTCAGGCTGTTGAAATGGGCCATTGATGTCTGCTTTTGTTTTATTTTAGTTTGGAGGGAAGCACAAGCATCACTGAGCAAAGTCAGTATCCTCCTATGCCTTGCTACTTATTGTAAGTGTGATTCATGGACCAGCAAAATGGACCTCATCTAGGAGCTTGTTGGAAATGAATCTCAGCCCGACCTACGGAAGCAGAATCTACATGTTAACGAGATCCCCAGGGGCTGTGTGTGCATGTCAAAGTGTGAGAGTTTTCTGTCCTAGTGCCACTGCTTTGAGAACTACAGCTTGGTCATCTCTAGAAGAAAATCTAGCATTTGTGAGTTGCCACTTCTCCTGCACTCCAAAATGCACGTCCCAGTTCCTGACCCATTAGAATGAGGTTGTCCAGGGATGTATGGTGCTCTTGCTCCTTCTGGCCATCTCATCTCCCCTCTCCTCTTCTGAAGCTCTTACACTGGTCAGCAACTGGGCCCTTCTTTGCCTTTATGATGAGAAACTTCTCTGCTATTTGCTGATTGAACTGATATTTGTTTTCTTGAAAAGTGTGTTTTAATTCAAGACAGTTGTTGTTAAGGCAAATCTGTCTGCTGTGAGTTTTATCTCCTCTCTGTTGCTTCCTTGTGGTGCCACCCCAGGTCCTGGCATGCATCTTCTGGAGCCCAAGGGGCAAACAACACCCTTAGACTTCCAGACAATCCCCGGCTTCTCCTCCACGTCTTGCCTCATCTCTCCAGCTGTGCAGAGCTGGCACACGGGCATGCCCTGCCTGCATTCTTCCCAGCTCATACCTGCTCTGGAGAGAAGACAAACGTATGTCAATGACAACACATAAAACCCGATGACAGCCCAAGAACTCCTAAATCTTCCAAATTGCCGTCTGCACTTCCTCTCTCTTTATATCCTGGCATGCCTGAGCTGACCCGCCCCCCGGATCCAGTCCCAGCAGCTGTAATCATGTGTTCGCGTCTCCCAGCTGCTTTGGTAAACGCTGGGGTTCCAGGTACCAGCCTCTTCCCGGCTGCACCTCTCCAGAGTTGGAGACAGCTAAGGCGTGAGGGTCCCTGGGAATTGGGAACAGAGGACAGGGCCCAGAGCACCTCCAGACCCAAGTGTCCTTTGACTTTCCACGTGGAAAACCAAGAAATGACTAAATCCAGTGAATTAGCCACAGGAATCCCACTGCAGGAAAAAAGAGAATCCCTGGTTGGAAGAGTTATGGCAAAGAGACAGCGCCTCCTTCTCCAGCAGCTCTATGCTAAATACGGAAACTCCAAAGAAGGGTTACAATTTTCCTTGAGCATCTGGAAATTAGGTTCTGCTCTCAGGCTCAAGTTAAAAACAGTGGTTGGAATTCTAGTGTCAACTTTGCCAGATAAGGGGGGATTGGGGGAGCTCCTTGGTGGTGAAGTGACATCCTGGCTGGCCTCTGTGCCTCAGTATTGGTGAAGGACTTTGGGAAACAAAGGCTCCAGGACAGCCCATTTGCTCATCACAGGTGCAAAGAGGCCAATACTTGGCCTCCAACCTTTTTTAAAACTCTAGAGAAGAATCTTTCACTTTGGCTGGGGAGAAGCAAAGGCATTTAATAACTCATTTCTTAATGAAGAATGAATCATTTTTAAAAGCTTTCCGCCTCTTTTACCCACTGACCCCATAATTAGAAAAAGCATTCATTTCCTTTTTACTGCTGGCTCCCTAAAGCGAGATCTAGTGGTCAGGGACTATCAGGAAACAGAAGCACACTCAAATTAGGATGCTTTAAGGAGTCCCTTAAAAAAAAAATGTGTATCCTGCCCACACCTGCCTTGACTAAGGTGTGGGCAGGGTATAGGGAAACTGAAAGGGCTGGTGCAATATCCTGGAGCTGGGATCTCAGTGCAGGGCTCTTACCACCCCTGAGCGTAAAGTGCTGACAGGAGAGAGTTACCAAGTCTGGAAGGAGACAGTCAAGTGGAGAGGTGGCATTGACAGGAGCTGGGATCATCAGCTGAGGCATGCGGCCAACCTGAGATGACCCTGTGAGAACAGAGACAGAGGAATAAATATGCCAACTTCACTGACCGACTTCCTTCTAGTCTATCAGAGACCCCATTGACCAGACCCAGCCCAGAGCCAGAGGGGGAGCAGTCTATTACTATAGGACAGACAGGTCAGTCTCGTGGGGTAGAGAGCAGCGTGGAGAGGGGCAAAGGGTGGATCTGGAGAGGCTGAGAGGAGCCACCTGGGACCAGAGCTGCTCTTACATTCCCTCTGCACGCCGCCTGATGCATTCCTTCTTAAAACTGCTGCCATGCAAGCATCTTGTCATTTTGCTCTGGAGCACCCGTTTGTGGTTGTCATTATTATATATTGCCTGGATCTGTCTTCTGCCAAGCCGGCTTGTAAGCCCTTAGAGACAGAGATTGTGTCTCTCTTGGATTTACCCACCGCCCTGGGGTACATATGTTCCAAGTCTCCTTTGGCTTTTTACGTGGAAAACCAACCAAGAAATGAATAAATCCAGTGAATTAACCACAGGAATCCCATGGCAGGACAAAAGAGAATTCTCAGTTGGGAGAGTTGTGGCAAAGAGAGAGTACCTCCTTCCCAAGCAGCACAACATATATACAAAACATATGGACAAGTGCGTGTGTGTGTGCTTGCGTATCAGTGAGGAGAGGTCAGGTGACGCTGCAGGTAACCACCACCTTATCTCAGCAGCGTTATACAATAAATACTCTCTTTTATTCACATTACCTGTCCATTGCAGGTCAACACGGAGTGGTGTGCGTGTCATAGTTAGTTTGGGACCCCCGATGGTGTCTTCTCAACACACACATCCCCAATTACAACAGAAGAGAGAGTATGGAGTGAATTACTCACTGGCCCAATGTGTCCCTTCTGTACACATTTCATGGGCCAAAGTGGGCTTGTGGCCATGCCTAACTGTCACAGCCAGGGAAGGAGGAGCCTCACCCGCTCAGAAAGCAGGGAACTAGAGACATTTGGTGAGCAGTCTCCCAAAGTGGCTGAGGTTGGTCTCTACCAGGGATCCATGGAGGAATGAATAATTTTGAATTAAATGGAACAGTGGGTGTCAATACAAATTAAATGAATAAAAAAATCTATGCCTTTTGACATAGGAATTCAAATCAGTCAACTCAGCAACAGAAAAAAATTAGTCAATCAAGTGTCCAGGAATTATAGAAACCAAATGATTTGTAAGATACAGACTAGTTTATATTACAAGACCCCATTTCTGACTGGTTTCAGCATAGCCTATGTTGTTTGACATGAATTGTGCCTGGGATGTGGATTCTTCATTGGGGGAGAATCAAATTCTCCCCCAATTCAATTATGTTATTGTTTTCCAGATTCTCATGTCCTTGGCTATTCTTTAAGACTCGGACAGACAGATGAAGATCCGCTCATTGATCCTGATGCCCTCTGTGGCTCAGCTCCAAAGAGGACATAGCGGCTGCCACATCCGCTTCCCTGCCTTTTGTGGGACATCCCCATGCATGGCATTCTGCACTACCCCCAGGTATTGGTTCATAAAATTGCCTTATCCTGAGCCCTCCAAAATCCCTGGACCTTACAGGAAATCATCTCACCTCAAAAGCAGAAAAGGGTGAAAAAACATTTTCAGAGCTGGGCAATCACTTTGTTGAAAAAATTGAAACCAAGTTTTCAGGAGTATTTTCAAAAGCAGAAGAGCATGTTCACTCGTCTTTAGAAACTGTCTATACCTAAAAACTGTTTAGGTAGTGATGCAGGTTGGCTGAGTTATCATCAAATTGTCTCAGCCACTTGGCTTCCCAAAGAAATTGCCTTGAAAAATCATGAAGAGACTGAGACTAAAGATGTAAGAGATGGCAATATTTTTTTTTAAAAACAAACAAGACCAAAAAACTACGATCTCTCTTCTCTGTTCCCTCCTATTTTTAAGTAATCTTTTGCACATCATGAACCCTGAAAACAAATGCTAATACTGCTTCCTCAGAGTAAATTGTCAAAGTAATTTTGATGGCTGGACTTAGGCAGATGGACATTTTATTTACAATGCCAAGCCAGATATCCTGGGATAAACACTAATTCATGAGATCTCTAAGGACTTCTGTGTGCCTAGAAGAGAAACATGAAAATGATCCTGTGACTGAAAAGGTGCATGATCTCATTGAGAAAGTTATTGTCGCAGTAATCTTACAAGCCTACAAAAGTTGGGTGACTAGCAAGGTCCTTCCCTGTCTTCTGAGGGGTCTGGGTCAATTCAGCTCTGGGACCTTCTTAAGGGCCCTTTGAGGTCCTGTCATCTTCAGTATTTTTTAGCAACTCACATTCTGATATGACCTGCCAGGGAGAGGGTGAAAATGATCAGCAATGCCAACTTCCATTGTTATAATTCCTTTTCCTGATGGTAAAAGTAGGACACGCTCATTGCAGAGAATTTGGAAAATATGAAATAAAAAGAAAATAAAAGGTAACCATATTTTCCCACCCACTGATAATCACCATCAACTTTCTGATGACTTCCTCTTCCTTTTTAAGCTTCAGTTTTCCGTGTTTTGATTTTTAAATTATTTCAATCATGCTTTCATCCTTATTTATTGAGAGCATACTATTGTTCTGTTCCCATCATCAGTGATGTAGGGGTAGAATAAATAATGTCCTGTTCTCATGGAGATGAAATAATATCAGAGACAGTTACTAAAATTCAGAGGGCAGAAAGACCATGGGAAAATCTTCAAACACTTGGAAGTTAAATGGCATACTTCTAAATAATTCATGGGTCAAAGAAGGAGTCTCAAAGGGAATTAAAAACACATAGAACTCTGAGATGCAGCTAAAGCAGTGCTGAGAGGAAAATTTATAACACTAAATGCTAACATTAGAAGAGGAAACATCTGAAATCAATAATTGAAGTTCTCACTTCATAAAACTAGAAAAATAAGAAGAAAATTACACCCAAAGCAAGCAGAAGAAAGGAAATAAAAATAGGAGCAGAAATAAATTGAAACTAGGAAAATAATAGAGAAAAATCAATAAAACAAAAAGATTGTTCTTCAAAAAAACCAATAAAATGGATACATCTCTAGCAAGACTGACAAAAATAAAAAGAGAGAAGACATATTACCACAATCTCAGAGCTGAGACAGAGGATATCACTACAAATCCTGTAGTTGCTAAAAATATGATGAGCAGATGCTTTGAACAACTTTATGCTCATAAATTCAACAACTTAAAAGGAATGAACCAATTCTGTAAATACTGCAACCTATCAAAACCCAACCCAGATGAAACAGACAATCTGAATAGCTCAAAAACTAGGAAAGAAATGGACTTTGTAATTTAAAAAGCTTCAGAGATGGTTTTTCTGGAGAATTCTTAAAAAAAAAAAAAAAACATGGAATTTTACACCATGTTATTCAGAAACTAGAAGAGAAGGGAATACTTCCCAATTTATTTTATGAAGCTGGTTTAACCTTGATTCCAAAGCCAGATAAAGATTGTACAAGAAAAGAAAATCACAGACCAGCATCTCTCATGAACTTAGATGCAAAAATCCTCAACAAAATATTAGCAAATCAAATCCAGAGGAATGCACATACCTTAGGGAGGCAGGGGTGACTTAACAAAATGAGCTAAGACTTGCACATTTAGACAGACTTAGTTTCAATTACCAGCTTCCCATGTGATACAATAACTCAACCTCAGTTTACCTATCTGTAATACAGGGGCAACACACATATTTTAGGATTGGTTCGTGTATCTAGTAAATGAAATTATTATTATATGAATGAAATTATTATTATGTCAAAAAAAGTCAATGGAAGTTATATTATTTTGTCATATTTCTTTTTTTTTTTTTCTTTTTTTGATAGAGATAGGGTTTTGCCATGTTGGCCAGGCTGGTATCGAACTCCTGAGCTCAAGTGATCCACCTGCCTTGGCCTTCCAAAGGGGATTACAGGTGTGAGCCAACACGCCCACCAGGTTTTCTCTTATGGAGGAACTAAATGTTACAGCAATAGCTGGTATTTTGTTATGGCAGACCGAGCTGACTAATACAGTCATGGCCCTTAAACGTGGCCCACGAGACCCTGCACCTTCTGGCCTCCCCTCTTTCTGATCGCTACTGTGACCTTTCCTCTGTGGCCCACTCTCTCCAGCACCACAGGCTTCCTTGGTATTCTCTGAATGACACGAGCACATTCCTACCCCAGAGCCTTTGCACTCTCATCTCCCCAGACAGCCTCACTCTTCCTCCACGGAAATTTCCCTCATTTCCTTCAAGCTTTTGTTCAAAAAGCTTCAGCCTTCTCAATGAGGCTGACCCTGAAAACTCTTTACAACTCACCTTCCCCCATTGAGCACTTCAACCCCCCTTACACGTTCTACTTAAAAAACAAAAATCTTCCCACATATTGATCACTTCCTAACATATGGTATCATGTATTTGTGATATTGTCTATTGCCTGTCACCATCTGAAAAATGATAAGCTCCAGAAAATCAGGTATACGGGTCTCTGTTTTGTTCACTGAATCATTCCAAGTGCCTAGGACTCTGGCTGACACATATTTCCTGCTCCAGAAAACCTGTTGGCTGAGTGAATGAACCTCTTCCCCCAGCGAGCGAGCCTGTCGGCCGAGGAGACCGCACCATACCAGGATTTCCCAGCAGGTGGCAGCCGACGCACGCCAGAGACGGCTGGGCGCCCACACTTTGAACTCAAGGTTCTTCCAATTAAGTGCAAAATAAGGAGCCAGGAGAGTCATCACGTTTGGCTTACTCCCGACGCAGACTTGCACTGGAGGTTGTGTGGAGGCGATGAGCCAGTGAGCTGATAAAGCCTTTATCTAATACAGGAGGCTGTTTACCCACAATTCAGGGGTAAAAAAATGTAAACAGCTGTTGAGATGAAAGAAGGTCAGAGTCCTCCCACGGTGGGGAAAAGGGGCAGAAGAAAGCCTGTGGCCACGGATTGGCATTACTCCTGCAGATGGAAAAGTGACATTGGACAACTACTCAGGGAAAAAGGTGAGCCCCTAACACACCACCGGTGCCGTGGACATTTCTAGTCTTCTTCTTCTTATTATTTTTTGAGACGGAGTTTTGCTCCTGTTGCCCAGGCTGGAGTGCAGTGGTGTGATCTCAGCTCAGGCAACCTCCGCCTCCCGGGTTCAAGGGATTCTCCTGACTTTGCCTCCTGAGTAGCTGGAATTATAGGCACCCGCCACCACGCCCAGCTACTTTTTTTGTATTTTTAGTAGAGAGGGGGTTTCACCAGGTTGGCCAGGCTGGTCTCAAACTCCTGACCTCAGGTGATCCACCCGCCTTGGCTTCCCAAAGTGCTGGGATTACAGGCATGAGCCACCACACCTGGCCTAATCTTACTGTTAACACACCAGAAGATACTTTGTTATGAAACCTTGAATCTCCCTGTGGGCCTCTGCCAAGCTGCTCTCCTCCCAGGTGCTTCTGTTATCCATCCAGTCATGGAATTGAGTTGCAGTGGTAAGGAACCCTTTGAAAGCCAAGTGCAAGGTGAACCTGCCTTCCAGCAAATTCAGCATTTGAGTGTATCCATTTAGTGGGAGGCTGCCAGGCAGAAATTGCATGATAATCTGAGTCTACAAGCCCAGAAAAAATCCATGTCAGCTGATCAACCTAGTAACTATCACAGTGACTACAAGAGCTAGCATCCATTGAGCGCTGCCTGTGTACCAGGCATGTGCTGGAGATGTTTACCTGCACTATCTTATTCATTGTCAGTGCCAGTCTCTGAAGTTCACCCTCTTCTCATCCCCAACTCACAGATGACACGAGAGAGGTTGTCACTAGCCCACGGACCCAGTTCGGTGCTTCGGAGTTCACCCTCACCCCTGCAGGGGAGGCCGCTGAGATGTACCAAGGTGTCCTGATAGACCTCAGAGAACATCTAGTCCACCACTCAGTGTTGACAGATGGGTAAGCTGAGGCCCAGAGAGGGGAAGGGACTGGCTAAGTTTACACAGAAGCCTGCCCAGTCCCTGTGCAGGAAGAGCAACCCAGTGCCTTTAACATTCCCAACCAATGTCAGGAGGTCAAGCACAGGCCTTTATTATTTATTTGTTTGCTTGTTTATTTAGAGACAGGGTCTTGCTCTGTTGCCCAGGCTGGAGTGCAGTGATGCGACCATAGTTCACTGCAGCCTCGAACTCTTGGACTCAAGCAATCCTCCCTCCTCAGCACTCCCCATCCCCAGTAGCTGGAACTACAGGCACCTGCGTCATCATGTTGTATTGCTATGTTGCCCAGGCTGATCTCGAACTCCTGAGCTCAAGTGATCTTCTCACCTCGACCTCCCAAAGTGCTGGGATTACAGGTGTGAGTCACCGTGCCCGGCCAATCGCAAGCTTTTAGTTTGCTTTCCTCAGATTCCACATTTGCTTCAGTCCTTGCTGGCACTGAACACTTTTGCATAAGAGCTTGTGAAAATAACACCACCTCTCATTTTAGGAGTTTTATCAACTAGTAGACTGTCCAGCTGGAATCACTGGCCTCTCATAATGTGAATTCTGGCTTCTGTGGCTATTAGCTGGTGACTTTGGTCAAGCCACTCAACTCTGAGCTGGTTTGTTCATTGGTAAAATGGGGGTAGCAATATATATTCATGAAAGGCTAGATTCTAAGCTAGTGCTGTCCCATACAAATGTAATGGTAGCCACATATGTAATTTTAAATTTTCTAATAGCCACATCAAAAAAAAAAAAAAAGGAAAGGGTGAACCAAAGCACACACCGTGATTAATTGTCATAAATTGTTTCATTGAATGCAGTAGCTTCCAAATACCATCATTTCAATGTCTAGTCAATATCCAATTGTTAATGCGATACTTCGTTTCATTTTCACATGAAGTCTTCAAGATGGGGTGTGTGTTTTGCACTTACAGCACATCTCAATTTGGACTGGTCACGTGGCAAGGGGCTGCTGTGTGGGACAGGACTGTTTTCCGCCTCCATAGCATTTTGAGCACGTGGCTCTGTGCTTTAGGAGGATCTTTGTATCTACACCTTGTCTGTAGATGGTCATCATTTGCGACCCTAACAGAACAGAGATGGCCTTCTTCCTGGCCTAACAAGTCCCCAGTACTCCCCTGTCATCAGTAGGCCTCTGGGCTGTCTTTGAAAACCTTCCCTTCCGAGATAGGTTTCCTCCAACACCACAAACAGGTCTTTCCCATTCTCTGCAAATGTTCATGTCCATTTTGTCCTTGATGTGGTGGAAGTGTTCTTAATAACTGCACAGCAGACTAAGATACAGTAAGAGAGAGGAATGCAGAGGATGGTGGGGTGATGCGGGAGGTGGAGAGATCACATCCTCCCTCGGGATGGGCTTGGTATTGTGGCACCCTGGGGCTCAGGGATCTGGTCTGTGGAATGTTGTCTTTGCTTGCCAGCTTAGAGCCCCACCTCGCCGCGCCCAGCTCGACTCTGTGGCCTCAACGGAAACACCCTCATTACAGGAGTGCCCCACCTCCGTGACCGCGACTTATATTTGATAATAAGCAGGTATAAGGGGTGCAATTGTGCATGGGCCGTGCTCAGAGAAACATGAAAAGGCTCAAGCCATGCTTCACCCTCAGGGGCCTGAGCTGGGAGATGGGAGCCAGCGTCTAGTTGGGTTCTCCTGACAGCAATGGTCACTGTGGCTCGTGGAGAGTGACAAATGCAGGTGGGGTAGCTCAGACACAGGGCTCTAGGCTCTCCAGCGGGTCTAGGGGTGGTAGAGACCCCTCTAACTCTCCCCTCACTCCAGCTCCCAGACAGTTCCTTCCTTTGTATTTTTTCTGGAAGGTAGAGGTTGAGGGCCAGAGCTCTGCATTCAGCCTACCTGGGTTCACATTCCAGCTCTGCCACGTCCTGTGTGGCTTTGGTGAGTGATCCAACCTCTCTCTGCATTGTTGTCTTCCTCTATGAGTGGGGTGGTAACTCCTTCTTGGGGTTTTCTGAGTAATAAATGAGGTAATAAACAGGAGACTCAGCATCAGACCAGTGTACCATGATTATATTTTACAGGGAGAGACCTGGTTCCTAGTACTTTGGCTTGTCCAGAATAGAGGCATCTTATTTTCCCCAATCAATTAATTTTATAGTTAAAAAATACAATATTAATAAAATCTATGCTGACAGGGAACAATCTCTGAGATGTACTCTGAAGTGAAAAAAGCAAAGTGTATAATATAGGCCAACATGGGACATAGACACGTGGCCTGTGTTTGGGATGGCACAAAAGTTACTGGTAATGGGTGACTGGGGAGGGGAGCTGGAGACAGCAGTGCGAGAGAGCTTGACTTTTCATTCTCTAGCCCCTTGTAATATTCCCATTTTACCAGGAGTATGTATTCCTGCTTTTTTTTTGTTGTTGTGAACATGAATTAATTTTTTCAATTAAAAAAAAAAAAACTAATTCAAATATCCCCCCCACCCCCACCAATGATAAATGGTCATTGTAAAAAATTTCCCAGTTCTGAAGAGAGAGCCTGAAAATGCTGTACCATTTCATTGCTGGGTGTTAGAAGATCCAGGGTCCCTGCCTGGGAAGATGGTTTGCTCCGAAATTCATTTTCCATGTATCACCATTTAAGCATCTGTCGGGGTTTAACTGGGGTGAGAGGAAAGCAGCTACTCACGCATGTAACACGTATGCACCCAGCAAACATAGCGCTTCCCTCTCACACACGCACGCACGCATGCACACACACACTTACACAACCTAAGGACTACACATGCACCCCTCACCAACCAAACCACTTCATACCCACATACTAACAAATGAGCCACTTCACCTATCCGCATCCAACCCCAAAAGCCCTTTACACCCACAAACACACAACGCCCACCCCGACAACCAAGCACTCCACACACAACAGTCTTTACACACATGCACCCAACGACCAAAGTACTTCACACATGCAACCCAGAGATCAGAAGCGCTTCACGCATCTGCCCAATAAGCAAAGCACTTAATATACACACGCACAGAGCTTTACACACATACGCACCCCAACCAAAGGGTCCACACACACACTCACATGCCCCAACGCCCAAAGCACTTCACACACACACCCACATGCACACCCAAACAGCTTTACTCCTTCAACCAACGTGCATCATACACAGTCCCCAACAACCAAAATATTTTACCCCCATGCACCCCAACAGCCAATGCTCTCCATACAGACCCCCCTTCAAAAGCCCAAAGCGCTTCAATTGGTTTGATGCAGAGGTAGATACTTGAACACCAAGACATTAGACTGCGACTTTCTTTTCAGATTAATGAGCAGAAAAAGATTGGAGGAGGGAGGGGGCGAGAATGGCGGGAGAGAGCAATTACACCCAAATCTTTTCTCTGTTGATTAGGGATTCCTTCTCTAGCCTGCTTTGGCTCCAGCTAAATCTTTTTCTAATGAGATGTGGCTTATCCAGATCAAGGCCCTGAGAAAAAAGTTGCAATTAACTTTAAGAAGAAAAAGAGTGAGTGAGAAAAGGAAGGAAGAGTGGAGGGGGCGGCCAGGGGTAGGGGGTGGGGGCAGGGCCAGGGGCCTGGATGATCAGGCTGGGAGGAGCCCAGGGGCTGGAGCAGGCTCCCAGCAGGTGGAGGGGCGCAGGCCCCGGCTGTGCTTCCGGAGTTTAGGGAACGGCCCTGTGATGCCTCTGCCAGCCTGGGTCAGGCCTCGTGGCCACTTCAGGCTCAAATCAAGGTGCAGGAATGGTGAGTGCCCTCGGGTTTTGGCTTTCCCGGCTCTGCACCCCAATCCCTGGCAGCGGCCTCTCTCCTTTCTGTCTGCCTACCCTCTGGAGGACATGGGCCCTCCTCTGTCCACCCAGAACCTCGGGTGGTGTCTGGTCAGCACTGACTCTGCTCTTGGGAGCTGGTGGGTTCAGCAGTCCTCCGGCGGCCGGGAGCCATGGGTTTGGCCTGGGCCTCAGCACTGATGGCTGCCGCCGAGGTCCCCCCGACTTGCCTCACTCTTTCCATCTGGGAGTGAGGTCTTGAGTTATTTTAATGTGAGTCACTTAGAAGGGTGGACAGGGCCTAGGACTGAAGGAGACACTTCATATTGAGATGCTAAAAACACCTCATGATCCTAGAACTGACATAGATTGACCTTTCTGTGTTTCTCTCTGGATAAAATCAAGCTAGACCCAGTCACAGCTGACGAATAGTCACTTCCTCTCTCTGATGCTCAGTTTCTTCACCTGTTAAGAAAACGAAAGAAGTGGGGCAGTGGATCTCCAGAGCCTCTGCCAATCCTGACACCCCCAGATCCAACAGAAGGCACAGATGCAGACTCCACGTGTCATGATTTGAGTACCCACGGCTCCCTCCCTGATTCCCAAGCTCTGCTCGGCACATTCGAGGGACGCTTACACCTTCCTGAAAGTTGTTTTCCGTGCAGAGATTGGTTTTTGCCCTATTTGGCAAGAAATATCCAGCAATGCCTGAAGGCAGCTTTCACAAATCTTGAGGTCTCTAACCTGGCACTTGTGGTGGGGTCTCGGCTAATAACTGGACATCTGTATGCCAGCCGAGCTGGGGAGCCCGAGCCTGGATCGGATGGAGTTAGGATGGGTGGGGTGGATGGGGGGCAGGAGTGGGCTGCAGTCTCCTTTCTCTTTGGTCACACACAGCCAGGTATGCGGAAGGGGTCTGGGCAGATTATTTAAAGCTGAAGTCCTTTATTTTCCTACCCACAGCATTTCCTTTTCCCGTTCTGTGCATCTCCCTGTGCAAATTAAAAGGGATTTTGATGGCATGCTGGTGACTCCATGGGATAAAGTGAATCTGGGTCTCTGCAACTTGCTTGACTTCCAAAGAAGCAGGGCCCTTGCATGTTGGTGGCCACCCACACACACGGGCTTCCTCCGTGGGATGTCTGGGTGACCCCTTGCCAAATAAGCCCCGCGGGCCTGGGCACAGATGAGTTGGGCCCGTCTTTCCTGTGTCTAAGTTCTAGAGAGGTCACACAAGTCCCCACCTCCAAGCCCCAAGAATTTCCTTCAAGCCTGGTTCCCGGGTCCCCAGCCAGCCCTCCCTTCTGTCCCTGCCCTCCACAGTATTGGTTGCTGGAGACAATCTGGGCTTTCTCCTGTGTCTCTCTGGCTGTCGCCAATGTAATAAGCATATGTGCTAGAAATCCTAGCTGCAGTGCTAAGTTAGAAATTCTTCTTAAACATATAGCAAGGTCAGATGAAGGGGGAAAAAATAGAAAACAAAACACAAAACCCTGAAACAGAAATTGGACACAGGAGGGCAGATGTAGACTGAACAGGAAGTGCTGGCCCGAGGCTAAATGAAACAGCTGTCACCATTGTTCTGGACTGAAAACTGCCTTTGCAAACTCCATGCGGTCCAGGCTCAGAAAGCAGATGTTAATAATTACAGCACATGAAACGAAGGGCACAGGATTAGGCAAGTGACGAAAAAGAAATGGTACCAGTAGATTTATAACTCGCCTAGGCAAATCTGCTTGCTGGTGTGGGGGGTGGGCTGGGCGGCTTCCCTGCAGAGGCCCCTCCTCAACCCCCTTCCTAGTTTGGCATTTTGGCTTCCGGGATGATCTCAGAATTTGGGGATTGTTTTATGGTGGGGGGCCATGGAGACCCATTCAAGCTGCCTTTCCAGGGACCCCATGACTCCAGGGCCATAGACGGTTGCCTCTGACCTACAGGAAAAAGGATAAAATCTCTAATGCTCAGCCCAGGTACAAAAAGGGGATCTGTGGGCAGAAAATCACTGGATGGGTTGCTGCAAGCCGGGACTCATGCGGACACAAAGCTGGGCAGCCATTCTTGGAGCTCTTGTTTTTACCAAAGGGTTCACGTCTAAAATCCAGGAGCTCAAGTTCTTTGCAGCTGAAATTGATTCACACTTTAAAATCAGCCAGACCCTAGCGCCTTGGCAAGGGAGCTCAAGGAGGATGTTGGGACACTTAAAGAAAGTCAGCAAGGCGAGTTTCTTGGGCTAATTACATAAGTAGAAAAGGCAGAGTCTTCACGTGTTTTCTGAACATTCCTCAGTGCTTTTCCATGTGAGCCAGAATTGTAAAAAACAAAACAAAACAACACACTCGCATCCACAAAAATTCCTCCCATCCCACCACCCCCTGGAAAGGACGTCTCTAGGAAAGGTTAGGAAGAAGGTAAAGCATGTGTTTGGCATCTTTATGCCTGATATGGAAACCATATGCTTAAATACACTAGCAAACATACTTAATATAACACTCTCTTTTATTAAATGTGGTTTTATAAACGCTCTCCCCAGCCAGGGCACCTTCCCCATGCTGGAGGCTGGAACTTGGCAAAATAATCTTCCCACTGTTACATCTATTGATACACATTTTTTGAAAATGAGTCTCGGACCCTTGGAAAATAGACTGGTTCTGATTATTATTGCAAGAGGGAAGGGGCACACGAGGGCATCTTTTTTCCTCTGATAAATTAAAAGAACTGTAACGGGTGCTTTCTGCAACCTGTAAAAGGGCAGAGCCATCTGTGATTCATTTAGCAGCTCCTTATAGAAGATTTATTTGATTAATTCGGTTAGAAGAGAGAGAATATGGATTTTCCCCTTCTCTGAAAGGCACATATACACTCACACATGCACACATGCACCCACCCATGGGTAGACATCTCAGGAATGAAAAATGACTAATCGTGTTATTGGAACTGGCGAACACGGGGCCTCAGTGGTGAGATAGCAAGCTCCTGCCCTGCCAATGGGAGGGCCAGTTACAGAAGAGATTTAATATCCTCAGGCCCAATGCCATCAAAGAGTGAGCCCAGAGGATAATACCATGAACTACTGGATCACTTTGCTTAGGCATTGATTACTGGGTGCCAGGCACTGTGTAGAGCATTTTGAATGCATTATCTCATTACATCATCACAATGACCCTTGCGGGAGGTACTGTCGCCATCACCACTTTATAGACTGGGAGATGGCCCCATTCCCGGCAGGCCTCAGCTCAAAATTCTTTTCACTTTTTCCAGTGAAATTTTGCTTTCTCAGTCCTCCGTGCCTACAGCAGACAGATGGAGGCCACGCCTTACATTTATCTAGTGGTGGGTAATCTTGGAAGGGGTTATCCGCATTGGCTGTGCTTTATCCCTATAGGTTTCAGTTCAGTGTTGATTAGAGAAACACTCTCCTTTAGGCTTATCTCTAGTCTCAAGGAGGGCTCTGGCCTCCTCTGGCCTTTGTTGCCTCTAACTTACGTGACCCAACCCTATAAGCAATCATCTCTAGACCACTGTCAATTCCTGGTTGGGGGAGGTAGTAACTGCCCCTTAGAGAGGTCCTTGCAAAGGGCAAAGAAAACAGTACAGGTGAAAGGAATCATAAAAGCACACAAGATCTGACCCAAAGAAGACTTTGGATGTCAATGTCAGAGTGGCAAATATATGGTAAGTAAATGTGTCACTGCTCTCTTTCCCTTGCTCACAGCAGACATTGCTAATTGATCCCAGCTCTGTCTTCTACTAAGCCTCAAAATCCTCAATACAGAACTCCAGTCAGCCTCTACCAATAGATCAGAATTAGCAAAAATAGTTGAAAGCTGTTTGCAGTCCCTTTCAGTTGAATGTT